CTTCCAGCAAAAATCGTCCCCAGCTGAAGGGGGAGTGGGACACTCAACGCCTTGTGGGTAAGCCGTCCGCAATTTTGTCTTTTTTTCGACTGAGAAGGCCCATTCCATAATTGGGATGCCACAGGCAGCCCGATAATTTGTATTGAAGTGGAGGTGTATTTACCGAGCCGCGAAGCTTAACAGTGAGATAATTGGGCAAAAAATGATGATGATTTTTAAGTCATTTATCGCTGGCAACAACTACAAGTTTGTCGCACAAATGACGTGCCGCACGGCCGTCACGTTTTCTTGCCGACAAATAAAACATTTGAAGACATTTGTTTGGCTCTTAATTTCTTCATCAAAATGAACTGTGCCGGAATTCTTTCTGTGTTTGAAACCATTCTTTTAGAAAATCATTTTAATTTGGTTTTAAGCTTATTTATGAACATTCCAGCTAAATTATGCAACGCAAGACTTGACTTGCATTTGCTTACCTGCAAAAACTGCCAAATCAAACTTCGCCGCCTTCTTCCTGTCGTCGGGAACAGCTTCTTCGTTTATTTGTTAAAATTTCTTCATTTTTTTGTACGGAAGCAAACCGAAAATTCATTTTTGCTCTTAAGTTAACGCGAACGTCGCTCGGAGGTGAATTGTACTGGATATCCCGAGTTTGAGTAACAAATCAGGGCGCGCTTACTATCAACTGCTTTAGTATATACTAAAACTAGTGTACCTAACAGGTGAAAGAGTGCTTCGATGGTGTCAATCAAACCATTTTATTAAAAATCGTGTATCTAACAAGACATAAATAATAATTACTTCTCAATTTTCACAGCGGATGTCAGATTTGGGGCATGCCCAATATCGTTATTTTCACAGTCAATGATTTGTTGTACGCATTCCATCACACTACTGCAAGCCGTTCCTTAAAAATAATGATTCTTTCAACTTATTTTGATTGTTCATATCAGACATGCTGGTTGCAATACAATAGACGTAATTTTAATGTGAAAGTTGAGAATTGTTTTTGAAGGGAAAAGCAAAGCCTTTTAAAAAAAGGCAATAATTAAAAATAGTTATGAAAAGACAATTTTCAATCACAAGTAATTTCCAACTGGACCGAAGCGTTCCATTTCCACCACAATTTTGATCATTTCTCTCTCTGATAATATCTTCAGTTGTTACTATGCACTGAAGAAAATATATAAACAGCTACCACAAGCCACTTTTAAAGGTCGTCAAAATGCTTTATGACAACATAACGTAAAAGAGAAATTCATCCCAAAGACTTATTAAATCGAGGATTTCAACTAACCTCAACGACGAACTTCATGAAACCTAGAACGCCAGTGGAGTTCGGTATATAAAGGTAATGGGCGTAGGAATTGTGGTAAAAATCCTTTGCATTGTGGTTAAAAGAAACAGATGCATTGTGGGTAGAAATCGACAATTTTTGTCCTTGTGCGGATTAGGTCTAATGCCTTGCTCGTTCGCTCCAGGCTCGCTCGTGCGGTAGCGACTAATTATTATTACGTAAAAGCTTTGATAAACTTCGGTTGCCTGAAGTTCAAGTGCTTGCTCACCCTTGTGTTTTGTTTTGCAGAATGCCCACCATCGACGTACAAGGATTTCGTTGGGTATGCTGACTCTTGCACCGCTTGCCCTGTTAATTCCGGCCACTCAGGCAAGGGAAAAATCACAATTGATTCATGCGAGTGCTTTGAGGGATACTGGCACTCACAAGATCAAATCAACTGCGCAAGTAAGGAATAGGAGTGAATATGGGGGTGAAATGTCGTTACGTCATGTTGCCATGGTAGCAAAATTTCTGGATCTCAGCAAAGCGTGGTCCTGCAAATATGGCGGCCATGTCGATCAGTGCGCTTGCATCTTTCTTCGCTGATGAGCCGAAATCCTTCAATCGGGGAGAGAACTACTACAGTTCTAAACATGTTGAGTTGTTTGGATATTCCAATAGGGCATTATAAGATGTTACCACGGCAGCGAGAACGTCAAAAAAGCAATAGGTTTCAATGTCGTACCTGCCACTGTATTATTACGCCTCTACAAAGCATTTATATTACCACATTTCCTGTATTGTTCTACCGTATGGCATTTTTGGGACTCTCAAAATAAGGATAAGCTAGAAATGTTGAACAAATCCGTTTTTCGGGTCATCTTAAATGACAAAGTCTCATCATAAGGTGACCAATTGCAACGGATTAGAGACTGTTCCCTCAGTAACAGGCGGATAGAGAACATGCTTATAATTATATTCAAATGTCTTCATCTTGAACAGTATCCCCAGTATCTTAAAGAATTGCTTTCTCTGAGATCTATTGATTACTCTATGAGAGGTACTGATATCGTTAGTCTTCCTAGACCAGTTACTACTTTTTATGGCTTAAATTCTTTTAGTTATACTGATGTTAAGGTCTGGAACGCGTTGCCTGACAAACTGAGAACCCTTTCGTCTTTGCATGATTTTAGTTTAACAATTCGGCGATACAGATTAATTAATTAATTGTATTAAGAGTTAAATATTTTCTCTAGTTAGTGTATACCATGGTTTATTTCATTTTAGGATTTTATTTCTATCTCGGAGATACTAGCCTATTTTTGGCTACTCTGTAATTCGAGATATGTATGTATGTAGTTAAAGATTAGCAAAACAACAGCTTTGCACGGGCATGACATTTTTTTGTACATTTCTTTGCCGTCACTGTATGCATATGTTTGCATAATTTCATGTTTTATTGATCACGTGTACATGCGATGACGAATTTCTGCTCTTTTTAAACTTTAAAATTTTTTTAGAGCGAGTTAAGATAATCGGGCTGAAGTGTCAAAGAACGCGCTTTTTAAGTGACGTTTTAAACTCTTAAACGCCGTCTTAAACTCCCTATCATTGTTGAGATCTAGAAATTTTGCTACCATTATAACTTGACGTTGCACTTCCCTTCTCTATCGACACTTTTTTCTGCGCTTAGAACGCACACCAGGTTGAAACTGATGAAAATGTTTACAAGATGCGGTAAAGTTGTGCGATTTAAGTTGTAAGTTGATCTGGACCCTTTCATTGGGTTTTTGGAGCGAATATGAAGACAGTCACAGAGAAGACCCTATTCGCCTGTATGTTATTTTCATTGTCCAGATAAGAAGCAAAGCAACAATGGTAAGGAAATGTCAGAATGCAAAAAGGTGCAAAGCAACCTGTATATTAATTTTTAGTGTCACAACCAACTTCCTTACAACAAAATCTTGTCTTAGTCGAAATAACACAGAAACCCCTTGTGAGGAACATGTGAAATTGTAAACTTTTCTTGGCTGTTATTATGATTGGTCGAAACTTTTAACAAAGAGACATGGCCTTTCAAAACACACCTTAAATACTCTAAAAACTGCCTTTCTTTGGGTAAACTGCCTTTCTTTGGGTTAATGCTTTCTATTTGCGAAAATGAAACCATTCCTACCAAAAGAATTTGCTTCCCGTCTTTCCCGGATCATTTCTTATTAGAGAGTTTAAACTACACGTATACGGCCAACGGCAAACTTCAGATTCAGTTGAGAATTTCTA